CCCAACGGTGAGGCGACACGTTGTTCCTCTGGCCACCGAGAATTTTACACTTGGAAAATCCCCATTGGTCAGGGCTGTTAACGGGTTATCGGATCCAAATCAGAACCCGATAGCTTAATGGTGACACGTTACAGTGGATGACACGTGTCGGTCACCCTTGACTAAAGCAATTCTATGACGCGCGATTTATCGTCATGGAAATGGACACTTCCGTGATGATAATTTTGGTAATGTCATGGAACAATTCTACGACAGCATAGTATGACTATCTCGATTCTGTCATAAAATCATCATGGGTGTACATGCATGACAAAAAACGTGACCTACTGTGACAAACACGTATCGTCACGGAAGTGTATTTTTTTTGTAGTGTGTCTCTGTGTCACTTGGCTCCTCAAGTGTAGATTCATGTGTTCCCTTGGAGTTGTGGCCTTGTCTGCCATGGAGAGTGACTTTTCTCACTATGGTTCTCTCATTGGCACTGTCTAAAGGTCTTGAGCTAGCTGTTGTGCCATAAACCTTAGCAAGCACTACTTTCTTCTTCTTTGATGTGGCCTCACTAGCCACAAAATCCTCATCCTCGCCATATGAGCTTCTCTTCTTTCTTGTCCTTGTGGCAGCTTTGGGCAGTTCTGGTGAGCTCCTCACTCCTTCATAGTAGCTACCCTCAGGACTAGGTCGAATAGATAGATATGGGCAAAGTAGATGAGTCATAAAAAACAGATATTTTTTGAAATTTGAGTTCAAATATCAGTTTTAGGTTTTCATAGAATGCATTTTGGATCCACCAAGTTGATAATCTCGGTGATACCGAAGCACTCAACAAAATCAAAACACACCATTTCGGTCTGACCGAAATGTGGTTCGATGTCTCCGAGATGCTAGGGTTTCACTGAAACGTTACTTTTGGTCTCACCGATTCATACTTCTCGGTGGCACTGGGGCGTACTAGTGCAATGGCCAGAGCCAAATCGTTGACTCCGAAAATTTCAGTTCGGTCAGTCCGAGATGCTTTTAGTGGAAACCTAAACCTAAACTTTTTGCTCAAACCCTAATCCATGGAAGTGATCTATTGGATAAGAGTGTTTCATACATGGCAAGAATCATGGCAAATCCCTAGTGCATTCAATCAGAAATTAGAAGCACGAGGGGGCAAGATTTTTACCCTAACTTGGTGCAAATTCCCTATGGCGGCAATGGCGGGAGGGAATCTGTTGATGGCAACGAAGTCCAATGGCGAGGGTGCACTGGATGCAATGACGAAGTCCGGAGATGAGGGTGACGGCAGCAGAGGGGGTGCGGGAGCAAAAACGTTTGAGAAATTTCAACCGTATGGGACCCGCGGGATATATATATACCCAGCTGCTATCGGTGGCACCGAACGGAACAAATCTATGGCACCGAGACATGTAACTTTGAGAAGTTGCAACATATCAGTGACTCCGAATTGGTCTAATCGGTAGCACCGAGATTGAAAACTCATATCAATCAAACGGTTTCGGTGAGTCCGTATATGAGTGGATTGGTCACACAAAAGCAAATTTGAAGGTTTTGGAGTTCAACCCTTTCAGATCGGTGGCTCCGAGTGCGCCTCACCCGAAGGGTCCGAAAATGACTTATTCAATTTTTATGGTAGCATGAAGAGAATTTGATACAAGAAAGCATAGATAGTTAGAGAAGGTTCTTAGGCATTCTTGTACATCCACTTGGCTAGAAAAACCAAGACAATCAAAACAACAAATGGATGTCCTTGAATGAGGAAAACATGCAAACCAACATGCTCACACAATAAAATGGCAAATGAAATATGTGTCAAACATGCACAACCAATTCTAGCATCTATCAAGCAATTGGCGATGACTAGGTCATCTATATATGAGTATATTGACTTAGGAGTCAAATGAGGACATTTGATCATAGGTCATACTCATCGTTTAAGCACAAGTGGGGTTGCCACTTTTACATAAAGCATTAATGTGTTCACACCATTAGAGTTGCTTTAGCTCAACTTTTAGAGCAAAGCTCCCCCTAGATGTGATATCCCCCCAAAGAGGGATGAACTAACCTTGGGTTTTGTCGATGATGACTTCATGTAGATAGTGAATATGTGAATGCTCAATGTTGATGTAGTCCATAAAGAGTTTGGAGCAATCCTTTGGAGTTTTGCACTTTCAATACGTACATGGGTTAGTCCCACAAGGAACATACAAGCATATCCATAGACATAGAGTGAATTGCACATATGATGATGTCCATGAATGCATTGAGTTACCTTATCACTTGTCTTACCAACAAGAGGGTTTGTGACTCTATGAACTAGTGCAAGATGTATAAGTTGGTTGCACAAGTCCTCGCCGAAATGAATATGAGTGAAATATGCTGGCGGAGTCACCCTCAAGAACACTCTAGTTCTTCTTTTGGACCCACATTAACTTGATGGGAATCCTTGGAGTTGTAGTTGAACTTGATGAAGTCTTGGGAACCCACTTGACCATGGCTTCAGGTGCTTCTTCAAATGAGTCAATCTCTTCTTGAAGCTTGTCCTTGCCTTTCAGCTTGTGGTCTTGTGATGGAAGATCATCTTGAGCGTGTGTTCCCTCAAAAGAAGTGGGTCATACTTCTCTTGTTGAGGAACAAACTTCGTCTTGAGGTATTGATCTTCTTTCCATTCAACTCCATTGGCATTGAACTTTCGTTCAAAACCAACTCCATTGGCTAGGGCAAACCTCGTCTCAGTGGCACTGATTGCATCATCTCGATGGGACCGAAGTGAAGCAATATGGCAACAAAGAATTGGTCAAGCCATCTCGGTCGGTGGGGCCGAAACAATTGCAACTAGGAACAGAGAGTTGGCAAGGCCATTTCGGTGGGATCGAGATCCATATCGGTGGATCCGATTTGTTAGGGTTTGGCAGTGGCTAAGTCTAGATGAACTCGGTGGCTCCGGATAGGAAATTTCAGTGGGGTCGAGTTGGAATGTAGGGTTTGGACATATTTGGATGGAGAAAGTGGTTGAGGATTTTGGAGCAATATCATTAAGCACTTGAGCAAAAAGACAATTAAGCAACACCTCATCCCCTTTTAATAGTATTAGCTTTCGTATGGACTCAATGTGATCTTGAATCACTTAACCAAAAATGTAGAGTCTTGAGCTTTTGCTAGTCCATTTCCTTAGCATTTTGAGGGGTCCACAATCACTAGTCCTTTCCATGCCAATCATCGAACGTCCTGAAATATTTAACTTGAATGGACATTAGTTCAATGAGATATATGTTGTTATGAATTACCAAAACTACCCGGAGATTAGTTGCACTTTGAAGGAGAGCTCGTTCGGGAGCCTCCCCAAGGGCCACTTAGCGCGCTCTCAGCCGCCACCCACGTGTCGCGCTCGGGCACTCCCTCTGGATTTTGTTTTTTTTTTATTTTTTCGCACGCGTTTTCGGCTTTTTATGTGGTTTTTCTGATTTTTTTTCCTGGCTTTTTGGTTTTCCACCGGTCTTAGCTTTTGATTTTTTTTAAACACAGCCGTGCCTCTCAAAACCGAAAAAACCATGTTTTCTTTTTTTTTCCTTCCGTGAGAAACGAAAAAAATGTTTTCTCTTCTTTTTCCTTGCGCGAGAGGTACAGAAAACGGAAAAAAAATGCCTTTTCACTTTTTTTCTGTCAGAGGCACGGGTTTACTTCTAATGGGGCACAAATTTGCTTCTGGAAGAGGCACCGTCGTGTCTCTTTCGGAAGAAAAAAAGAATGCATCAAAACCTATCGACATGAGAGGTAGTTTTGAAGATCAACGTGGGAATCCAACGATGAAAACAGTTCGAGATTTGGATGCACGATTTAAAACATAAAACATTTTGAATAAACAGATCTATGACAGAAGAGAAAACTCTCATATTGCAACAAGTGACGCACGTACAATGCGTCACTTGTGCAACATGAGAAACAGGAGTGACCTTTGCAAGGAGTGCTCTTTGATTAATGATTTCGCCTAAGCCAGGGAATAGTTTGGACTTGAACCTAAGTTTGAGTTTGGTTTTCCTGGTGGGTTGGTTTAAATGGTCTGTGGCCCTGATATAATCTGGTATGGTTTGGGTTTTAACATTTATTGGACTGGATTAGATTGGTCTGGGCGCAGACTAATCGATCTCAAATCGTTTTTGTAATCTCATAAACAAGTCAGCCACCAGTTTAGGAGCATACGAGACCAGCGTCCCAAAAAAAGCGCACGAGACCAGCGCATCGGGCTTCCATGCTGTAGCCGCTGGGGTGTCGCTGGGCTGCCTTTGCCGCTGCCGGAGATCCGACGGCCGTGGTTCCCTCCATCCGCCTTCATTCGATCGTGTCGATCATGACGCCTGCATCATGAGTCATGACGCTGTTTCTCTCTCTCCATGAAGCTACTGGTCTCTCCATTAAGCGCACAGACGGCCACGCAGATGACCAGTAACTCCACGTTACGTACCAACACCTGCTTGTCCATGGTTTCAAACTATGGATTAAATCCAAAAAGATGAAACAGTCTTGATTGGTTTGGATGGAAACTAGCTTGGTTCGGTTTGGATTCTAGACCTTCGATTGGGTTGGATTGGTTGCTGGAAGGGAAGTCGAGTGGTTTGGCCTGGTTTCAATCTGGATTTGGAACTATTCCCTTTTTTTGAGCGGTATTTGAAATTGCTCCGTTGCCTGCTACCGAACGCAGCGCTGGCTCCCCGAGAAGCTGGCCACCCAGCTGGCCACTTTGGGAAGCCAGCGGACTTCCGAACAGGCCCCAAGTTCAGCTGAAAACGGGCCGAGCTAAAGCTGGCTAGCGCTAAGTTCAGCTGAAAACAGGCCGAGCTAGAGATTGCCCCCGAGGTTGAGCCGAAAGTACACTCAAAGAGGGGCGGTGTGCAGAGCAGTGCTCGAAACGCGTCAAAATTTTCAAAGAGAGTAAATCAGCAATATTAACTTCCAATGAAATCAGACAGCGATTCAGTCAGACTGCAGATTGGGCACTGTGCCTAGCGAATCTCCCCATTCGCTATCGTCTTGACCTTGCATACTCCAGCCGAAGTTGTGAATGGAACATCTTTGTAGCACGCCACCAGCTCACCGTTGCTGTGCAGATCAGCGGACAACTTCTCCCAGGTTTTGCTTTTGGCGTTAAGAGAAGCCTCGGGCTCACCAGAGAACCCGGCAAAGGTCACCCTCTCCCCAACAGCAGCGGATTCTGGAGGCTCAACCAACTCAACCTAAAATTTCAAATGTCAGTTTCCACAGACCGAAGTGGCTGCTACTATACATTCATGATGATTTATTATAAAACAAAGAGCACATGAGAGCCAAACGTTCCTTACCTTTGTATGGTCCTCATTCGATGCGGCCAAAACCATAGCATGTGATTTTATACCGCGCATTGCCACCGGTTTAAGATTGCAGAGCACACACACTTTCCGGTTCTGCTCATTCGTACCATAAATTGCAAATTAGGGAGGTACGACCAATCAGCATACCAATGTCGCGACTACAAATGATACTAAGAAAGACAGACCTGCATTTCTTCAAGAGGGATGAATTTAACAAGGCCGCTAACCACTGTTCTTGGTGCCTCTTCTCCAACATCGATCTCTTCTACGTAAAGTGAATCAGCATCTGGATGCTTCTCTGCTTTTCTTATAAGCCCTACACGAATATCCAGCTTGGCAACTGAGACTTCCTCTGCTGTCTTTGATTTCAAACCACCAGATTGTTTCTTCTTTGAACTTCCCTCTGATACAAAAGCAAGAGAAGAAAACTGGCCAATGAATTTCTAGAGTTATGAAACTGGTTCAGCAGAAGATAACTCAAGAGCGCTTCAAACATAAGAAAGACGGCGCACTCTGCACCAGTATTTTCAGGAAAACATACAAATTGCACACAATTGAGCCACAAAGAGAAGCCTGTGTATAGATTGCCACAGGAAAAAAAAACTGGTCTCCCATGTAATTCACGCAAAAATATATAGAAAGAATTTCTTAAGTACCAGATAATTTTGTGCCCTTGAGCTTTTCAGCAACTTTCTTGGCCTCGGCTTCAGCTTGTTCCTTCAAGATCCTTTCAGCTTGGCTGCCAGCGAATTTTATCCTAAACGCCTCGACTTGTTCATCTTTCTGCATTATTTCAAAGTTGCGAAATATAAAAGCATGGCCAACTAACAAAATTCTTCTATCAAAATGCAAATACGCACCAGTTCCTTAAATAGAGGGACTGGCTTCCCTATTTTATGTCCCGCTGATATAAAATCCCAGGGTCTTTTTGCCTTGGCAGTTTCTCCTTTATCATCACAGAATGACAGATCTTCATCTGGGGACATATTTAATTGGTGCAGCACCTTAAGAAAGAAACATAAGAGTAAGCTCAGGCAAAGGGGGTCTATTAATATTAACTCTGAAACATGAAAATGAGGATTATACTTCTCTAGAAAAGGAAGGCATAAAAGGCTCCAGCAGACAGGCAAGGAGATAGACAACACCAACTGAAGTTTTCATTACGATGGCACAGGTTGCTGGATCTTCCTTATAAAGCCTCCAAAACTGGCTCTCCTGTATTCAGCAAACCAAAGATAAGATATAACAGTGCTATTTAAAAACACAATGGAAAGCAAGACAAAGAAATATATTTACTTGCAAATATGCATTTCCATCACTAGAAATCGCCATCGCACTCTTCAGTCCTTGTTTCAGTTTAACCTGTAGCAAAAGGAGTGAGCATTCTGTTTTAGATCCTTGTAGCTGGCACAATGAAATAACATAAAACTAGAGAGATAATGCAGGAACTTGTGCCATTTCACATGGTTCAAGTAAATTAATTACCTTCTCCATTGCTTCAAGATATTGTTCAACCCATTTATTAGTTTTTTCAGCAAGTGCATTGGTCAATGGATGTGACTCCACATTAGGAGCATCAGGTATGATGGAGTCGTATCCGCCTCCTACCAGAAAAGCAGATCAAAAATCAACTTAAACAAAAGTGTGGAAGATAAGGAATGATGATATAGTATGGCAGCGAATCACAGATAATCAAGATAAATTCTAAAACAAAGAAATCAACTGATAATCCTTCTAGACAGTTAGATGTCAGGTGCAAGATTCTCCAGTGACTAACCAGCTGGTTTGGCAACAAAGCTTAGCACACGGTTGATGAAGTTTCCTAGGTTGTTCAGCAACTCACTGTTCAATTTAGCTTGTAAATCAGCCCAAGTGAACAGTGTATCTGATACCTGAACACCCAAAACAGAAAAATATTGCAATGAATGCCATTATCAGATATTTTAAATCTATTGAACAAAATGTCTATACAAACCTCAGGGCGGTTCATAAGCAGGTAGTATCGCCATACTTCAGACGGAATATTAGTAGTCTTCGCATCATTGCCAAAGACACCAATACCATGACTCTTGGAAAATTTTCCTATAGATGCGAGGAATATTTAGCTATTATCAAGGGAATAAACATACATAATGTGTCAATATCACATATGAATCTCCTTCAGAGTAATTTGAATCAGGCCCATGCATAACAGTGTCTTGATCTTGCTGGAACATATCTTAGTCCATAGACATATGTTTAGCCAAGCAAAAATGATAAACAAACTAGAGTGCCATAACGGCATAACCAGATTTCTTCAAACCATTCATCCAATTTCATGTTAATATTCTCTGGTGGCAGGAGAACAAGGGAGCAGTGAGCATGACCCATAATGAAAACAGGGCCCATTGCTAAATACTCCCTCCGTTCCTAAATATAAGACCTTTTAGAGATTCCACTATGGACTACATCTGGATGTATATAGACATACTTTAGAGTGTAGATTCACTCATTTTGCTCCGTATGTAGTCTATAGTCAAATCTCTAAAAGGTCTCATATTTAGGAATGGAGGGAGTACAAAGCAATAATATACGAACACAAACCTACACAGCTAGTCATTCTGGGCACCTGTGAAGAAAGAGAAGTGTTGAGGCTTGAGAAAGGTGTCAACTACTTCTGCAGCATGAAGTGCATCACAATGCACCACAGCACACAGTGCAAGCATGGGCCAAATACTGGGCAGTGGGCAATATGTTCTGGTAAAAGAAATTGTACTTCGGGAAGCCCAGGTCGATGAGCCTCTGCAATTGCAGGGGGGTAAACAGAACGGGTATTTCTTTGGTGTAAATAGATGTAGCCGGATATGCTTTACTCATAAATCTCTAGAAAGCATAGGAATTTCAGCTCAAGTAAATAAGAAAGCGATAACCAAGTATGAATGACTAGCATGAACTATGCACCAATCAAGCGTTGTTCAAACAAAAATGCGGAAAGTACCTGCTTCATAGTTCAAATATTCAGTAACACTTATGGTCTTCATCATTGTCCAATTTTCACCAGTTCCCAGTAGTGTTGAAGGGAACATGACCTGAAAGTTACCTTTAAAGAAATAAGTACTTCATGGGAAAAAAGTACAGGCATTAAAAGAAAGTCAGTATACACATATGCTATCCATACATTTCAATACAGCTCGCATCAGACTGGCTTCTTAAAGGACTTTTTTCGATTTCTGAAAGCACTAATTACTTGAAACGAAAGCAACCTTTTATGAGGTATAACAGAAAATTCATGCCGGAATTAGCTAAAGCACATCAAATGCAACTGGCTTACATACATGGATTTGTGTGCTTGTAGCTCTTGCATGATTGATTTAACCATTGGTTATAAAATAAAACAAAATATCCTTATAAAAATAAATGTCAAACAATCACAGGACTCGACTGAATGAGGGTCAAATATTCAGCAAGAAATCATAATTTGCATTTTTCAGTCGTATTTTGTGGTGAAAACAAATCCACTCGTGACTGGAAGTACTATTGTCCTGACTTGGCAGTTAAACAAAACTTTATACACAAATATATGTGCTAATATAGGGTATGTTTGGATGGTATACAAAACCTACCCTACAAATTATTTGGTCATGGCCAAAACTTTGTTATTTGGTTGGATGGCTGACGACATTTTAGCTTGCCAATGCCTCTTTTGGTAACTCTAGTTCATCTTTCTTGCCATATTGCCCAACTCATGGGCAAGGAAAAGTTTGACCAAAATTTTGGCTAGTAAATTGTCTGGTATGTCTAACTTGGGCACAAACCAAACATGAAGCCAAATAACTACTAAAGTTGTGCCAAAACAAACTTGAATAACTAAAGAAGATGTTCACCATATCATAGGCATCATACCGTGTGAAATGGCACATTATCTTTACCCATGAACTGGAACAACTCTACATTATCAGGATCCTTCCACCACTTCTCCCAATCAGGCGTATATGATGCTGTGATAGATATGTACCCAATTGGTGCATCAAACCAGACATAAAACACCTGCAAAAAAACAGAAATGAGATAAGATAAACGCATACAGCAGAGATATATTCATATCTGATTTGCCCAAACCTTGTCTTTATACTTCTCATGTGGAACAGGAACTCCCCATTTAAGATCTCTGGTGATACAGCGTTGCTTTAACCCTTCCTTCAACCATGCGTTTGTTGCTTGAATAGCATTTTGACTCCACATACCAGCTACTGAAGTGTTGTTAATATAGTTTACCAACTTATCACTCAATAGAGGAAGCTCCAGGAATAAGTGATCTGTGTCACGAATACGTGGAGCATTCTTACAGACCTACAAAAACAGAAACAGCACAGGAAAGTTCATCATATGCAGTTTCACGCGGCACACACCTCGTGTGCTCAGGTAAATCATAATGATACACCGAACACAGCTAAATATGTTACAAAAAGTATTGTGTATGCTTACCTTACACTTTGGATCAATTAACTCAGTTGGGTTCAACAATTTGCTGCAGTTTTCACATTGATCACCCCTTGCTGCTTCATAGTTACAGCCTTCTGTCGGACATTTCCCCTCCACAAGCCTATCGGCTAAGAATCGCTCGCACGTGTCACAATAAAGCTGCAAAGCAGAAAAATATTGCATAACAGAAACAACATGCGGAGATGAATATATGCAAGGTTGGGCAAGGAATTAGCTGTACCTGCTGCATGGTGTTCTCTGTGAGCCATTTGCTTTCCATCAATTTATGGAAAATTGCCTGGCAGACTTCTGTCTGTTCAGGAGCGGACGTCCGCCCAAACTTGTCAAACTTTATGTCGAACCACTTGTAGACCTCGTCATGGATAACATGGTACCTGCATTTTCAGCCGGGAAAGCTTACTACGAATAAAATGCTTTCATTATTCACATGAACTATGGAAATTTTACTAACTAGGTGTATAGCATATCACAGGTTGATAACTGAAACTTTCGTGCGTTTTTGTATGTGCGGCAATTCAAAGCAGTGTTGGATAGATTTCATAACTCCTGTAAAAACAAACCAAAATTAAACTAAAAAGGCATCGAGAGGTGAAGGCTCTCTCACTTGTCGCAGATCTCCTTGGGTGAGCACTTCTCCTCCAAGGCCTTGGTCTCGGTGGCCGTCCCGTACTCGTCGGTGCCGCATATGTAGATGGCGTTGTACCCTCGCAGCCGGCAGTACCGCGCGAAGACGTCGGCGCTGAGCACGCCTGCAGAACGCGACCAAAATCGAAACCATCAGAGAAGATAAAACCGGGGGCGAACAGCGAGAGCTCGAGGAAACAAAATTGGGGGAGATAGCACAGTAGAAGGGATGCTCACAGCCGATGATGTTCCCCAGGTGCGGGACGTTGTTGACATAGGGCAAAGCGCTGGTGATGAGTATGTTGCGGCGACCGGGGATCGGAAGCTTCGGCGGCGGCGGCGGCGGTGACGCCATGGGGAGGGACGAGAGGGTTTAGCCGTTTAGGGTTAGGAGAATTATCGATGGTTTTCTGTGAGTCACTGTCTCGTTGGCCCCATTAAACTATCTTTCCCTCTGGCTTTGGGGCCTATATGGCATGGACACAGGCGTGCATCGTGCTCCATCCAATAGAACGAACGGGTGCTCCAGCCTTCAGACCAAGCAGTTGGAATCTTAAAGCTCCTCTTTTTGCACTCATGGTTATAAAATGTTGAACTGGCCATTTTCCAGACTACTATGATTCAAAGGGTTTCATATGGATTCTGGAGGATTATATTCCTATGATTTTATCTATTTTTGTTGTTTAATTCATAGGATTAAATTCTATAGAAAATCCATTTCAATACAATTTGTAGGAAAATACCTTTATGCAAACAATTCTTTGTATTTACTTTGTGTAATCAAACAAATTTTGATAAATACTCCCTCCGTTTCTAAATATTTGTCTTTTTAGAGATTTCAAATGGACTACCACATACGGATGTATATAGACATATTTTAGAATGTAGATTCACTTATTTTGCTTCGTATGTAGTCACTTGTTGAAAATGTCTAGAAAGACAAATATTTAGGAACGGAGGGAGTAAAAAACATATAGGATCTAAGTAGACATGTCGTCTCAATCATGCGAGGTTTTCCGAAATCACGAGTACTCCTTCCAAAGATCACTTCCACCTTAAAAGGTTGCGACAAGTGGCATGTTGCATGTGGGCCACTTGTTGCAACCTCGAAGTTTTCCCCTTTTTTTTGTAGATTCGCTTATTCAAAATGTTTAATCTCTTATACCGTGCGTCCACCATTTTCACCGTTGGATCCCTCGATCGAGATCTTCAAAACTAGATCCCATATTGATAGGTTTCGATGAACATTTTCACGAAAAAATGAACTAAGAGCACTTTTTTTTCCGAAAAGCCACGTGTTTTTCCCTTTCCGAGAGGCACTACCTCCACGAGAAGTAAACCAGTGCCTTTCGCGGAAAGATACAAAATAAACCCATTTTTTCCCTTTGCAATAGGCACGCCATGTTTCTCGCGGAAGCAAATCCGTGCCTCCACGAGAAGTAAATCTGTGTTTCTCGCAGCACGAAAAAAGAAAAAGGAAAGGCGTTTTTTTCCTTTCCATGAGTTCCACAAGAAGCAAATCCGTGCCTCTCGCGCAACGGAAAAAAATACGTTATTTCCCTTTCTGAGAGGCACGACCATGCCTCTCGCAGAAGCAAATCTGTGCCTCCACGAGAAGTAAACCATGCCTCTCACCGAACGAAAAAAAACATATTTTTTTCCTTTCCGAGAGGCACGACCATGCCTCTCGCTGAAGCAATCCATGCCTTCACAAGAATTAAATCCGTGCCTCTTGCGGAAGAAAAAAAATAAAACACGTTTTTTCTTTTCTAGGAGGCTTGTGAAACGGAAAGAAAACGTGTTTTTCAGCCCAAAAAATAATTCTGAAAAAAAGTCCAAATCCTAAGAAAAACCGATGAAAAACAAAAAGCCAAATAAAAACAAAAAATTCATCTAAAAGCCGAAAACGCGTGCAAAAAAACAAAATCCAGAGGGATCGCTCAGAGCGCGACACGTGGCGGCGTACTCCCAAGTTACCCTTGTGGGGGCTCTCGCAGGAGTACTCCTCAATTAGTTGCTCTCGGTTTTTTTCAACCCTAGGAGTAGGAGTCATAGAAAACATATATTCACCAACAAAAAATAGAAGGCATATATTGTATTGTAAAGGAATTCGGTTGAATTGTTCTGGAAATCTATCAGGGTGCACTGTCACTTATCCTTGTCAATATTTTTTTTCTCAAACACAATATAATGTGTGCCATCCTGTATTATTAGAACCAGCGAAAAGTTAAAAATCACAAAGTACAAACCTAAAGACCAAAAGGTAAAACTGAACAAGAACAAAAACACTAGCAAAAAGAACCTAACAACCCCCAAAAAGAGTAGAAAACAACAAAATGAGGCCATAAAAACAGAAGACCACGACAGCTTTAGCAATGGCCCTTCACAAGAAGATATCCACTTCGGTGCTTGAAGAACAACCGTGCATCCGATTGGTGCTTGTGGCTCGACTTATGCACTTGCCCTTAGTGCATATATTTAGGCATTTCAAAATATTCCAACAAAAAGGTATATGGACACGATGCGCAGAAAATAATGTATGAAATTTCAAATCCAAAACCAAGACGGGAGGATCTCATCGCGAGTCGCCGGCAGCGGTCACCACGGCCGCATTGTGCAACCCCGCTATGCCGCCAGGACCCTTTAGGTGGCATCTTGTCCCCGCGACGTCAGGTGCCGAAATGGAGGCCATTTGCGCCTCCATGACCTGGCGCGAATCCGAAAAGGAGGTGTGGCGTGCCCGCCGCCACCGCGCGAGGCTTCGAACGCGGTTTCAAGCAAAGGCGGCTGCTGCATCCCGCGCGGCTTAGGAGCTCGCGACCCGAAGGAGGCTTCGACGGCATGCAAGGCGGCATCGAAGGAATACCTCCGTGCCCGCATAAGAAGCCGCGGAGGAGGGCGGCGAAGGTGATGCAAAAGACCTAAGTCAGGCGGTCCGCGTCATGTCCGGACTGCCCCCCAAGGAGGAGAAAGGCGAGGGCGACGACGGATTGGACAACTCCAGCAGTGAGCAGATCCGACTAGAACTGTTGTGTGTCTTCGACCGCTATTACCGCAAGGACGACGGGAAGAGCAAAGGCAAGGGCAAGGCCGGCCATGGATGAACTTCTCCGATAATTGTTTTGTTCGTAGTTAACAGGACATGTCAAATGTTGGTAGTCCGATGACATGCACACTAATATGGATTTGCATGAGCTAATATGGATTTTAGTATTCGGTTTAGATGCATCCGGTTGTGGAGGAGCAATTTTGTGTGCTGCCCGGTCGCTGTCCACGGACACGCCCGGGCCCGTCCGCGGTTGTTTGGGGAACGTAATTTGATACTTTTGGTTGTAGATGCTCTAAGATGTTATGAATGTTTTTAATCCAAATCTACCGAATCGCTCATGTTATGATCTTCTACATCCTAGGTCTTTAATACTGCTTTTTGTTAGCTTTCCAGACGAATCAAGTTAAAGGACCATAGCTTTGCTTTGTCTTCCCAAGCAAGGCAGGATTGCAGAACAGAGTTAACAGGATCTGATCTGATGACCGCACTATTGCAGCTTGACCTACAAGTTACCGCCACTGTCAAGGACATTACCTCATAATGATTAAGCACTCAGAGATAAAGTCCATGCCACAATGGAGCGAAAAAGAAAGGCACTAATTAGATCATTAACACACTAGTACATCATGCGGTTTGGTCCATGTCACATTGCTAAAAGATGGGAGGGAGTCCATGTGTCCATGGTCCGTATGGTTTTCACTAGGTCCAGCATGAGCATTGCTGGAGCTTGATCTACAAATTAACCAGCTTGTGCATTATCACCTTTTCACTAAGAACCGATAAGGTTAAGTATTGTCCACATGTATAGGCTCGAACGGATGGAAGGGAAATGCACTGAGCCACTCAGAATGAATGGCTACATCATGTGGTTAGGTCCGCGTCGCGTTGCAGAAGAATCATGTACGTGATGCAACATTTTTCCGATGGATGTCCGTGATGGAACATTATTCGAGCTAGACAAGCATGATTAGTGGGTGAATCTTGACCTGACGATTAACAACTAGCGCCCACGTCATCAATGTTTTGACCCAGATAAGTTGCCAACAACCTTTCTCCATACCTCACCCTGAGCTCAAACTGCGGTAATACATCTTCTTCATAAAAAATCTTTGCTCCGAGAGGGGCGGGCTTTCTAGTCTTGCTCAAGGTTTTTGTTTCATCAGTTTTTTTTGTGAACGCGCAAAAGGCTTGCACCGATGTATTAGAAGAAAGAAAATAGGACAGGGTGTCCGGCGGCAGGCCGCGGTTACAGGGGACAACATGATTGTTCCTTGCAGGCAACCAAAATGGGGCAGGAAGAAAGACAACGTCCTACAAAGGAGCTCCAAAGATCTTCCACAACCCGGCTTTCTCTTAGATACGCCCACATAGCTCCCGAGCCACGACCGCTAAGCGCTGGAAGACGCGACTGTTGCGCTCTTTCCACAGCATCCACACGGTGAGGATGGCCACGGAGTCCAAACCCTTGTGCTGCGCGTGAGGAATTAAATCACGACTATCCGGCCACCATTCGTTGTTTCATCAGCTTCGCTACATGTACTAGAAATTACCCGCATTAGAGAATCTCCAACACTGTCCGGAATTACTTGACGGGCATCTCCAACACTGTCCGGAATTACTTGGCGCTGAAAATTGGATTTATCTAGATGTCACGTCAAGTAGTTCCTGATGGAGGTAGTAAAAGATAAGTTCAGCTACTACAAACTGAGCCCAAATATGGTGAACTACGGAATTATGCTTCTTAAATCTAGTAAGCCATGTCACAAACTTTTAAATATGGTAAAGCATGTCGCTTTGCCATTAGTTTATGGTAAAGTGCACATCTAAATTTATTTCTGAAATTAGAGCGGCTCAAGAATTAGGGCTCCTTTGATTCAAAGGAATTTCATGTAATTTTTAGAAGATCTGAATCCCTTTCTTTTTGCAGGGCGAGGATCTGAATCCTTAATTAGTAAATTTTCCCGCGGTAGTATTTTGGTCTGCAGAATTGGGATCCTTATGAAATTTTTCATATGATTTATTTGTGCTTCATGTTGGAATAAAATATATGCTATCAAACACACTTCAATCCAGATTTATGTAGGTTTGTAATCCTATAAGATACTCCCTCTGTCCCATAATATAAGAACGTTTTTGACACTAGTGTAGTGTCAAAAACGTTCTTATATTATGGGACGGAGGGAGTACATCATACAAGAGGTCATGTCACTCCATTCCTCCAATTTTCCTATGTTTGAGAAATCTGTGAATCAAGGCCCTTATTTTTGTGTTGGCTGCCTGAAACATCTCCTCCATGTGAAAGAGAA